TCTATTCTATGCGCTTTATAATGCGGTGCGCCCTACGTAAGAAAACCGTTTTAAAATAGGCTATTCATTGAAGGTGCGCCTTATACTCCGAAGCGCCTTATCGTGCGGAAAATACGGTAATAATGCTGTGTCCTGGTATGGTTGCTTCTTTCAGCACGTTCTAGAGATAAAGAGATGCATGCGCCGTGATGTCCAAACGGCCATTTGTCACGGCGTTAATTGCATGCCGGACCTTCAGAGAGAGAGGACAGCCCAGTCTCTTTACAGTATGTCACATTACACAAGTTGAAAGTTTAATGACTCTTTTTTTAAATTTTTTTTTAACGGGAGGGCCCCGTTTGAAGTTAATGCGCTCTGCTGCTGCAGCCGATATTACGGTCCTGCTGCGTGTGCGCATCCGTGACAAAGCGGGTTTCCTGTCACCATTCCTCTCAGACGATGACACGTGTGTCCGCGCGCGCACGGGTTTGATTTGCGTCCGTGTCCATTTATGCAGAGCATTTATCTTTTACGTGCCTGTTTGTGTTTTTATGTGACACTTCAATTCCCCATCGATTTATCCTTTTTTCATCTGTCCCACGGCGGGACTGTATTACTGTATTGCCTTTGTTCGGCTCCATCTTATCTGCCCTCGCATGTCTTTAAGCGGCGGGGGCGGCGGAGTCAACGGGAAGATCATTTCTCACATGAAGTGCTGAGATTCAAGCCGCCCGCGTGCCGTGTTGCCAGCCTGCCTGTGTCGACGGTAAATTCACGCCGAGCTCCAGGCTGATTTGTTTTCAATATTTAGGGGGCAAGTGAATAAGTGGCGTCCTCAGGCATCAACAGGATCCTGCTGAAAACGTCTCAATTATTCATCTTGTATATGCGTGATGCATGTTTTTAAATCCAGTGACAGCCATTTTCAGACCCTTCTTTACCTTACCGTGTGGGGGGGGGGGACATTAAATACATAAACAGCGGTGATTGAATGCGTGGATTCTCAAAAAAAAAAATAAATAAAATGTCTTTGAATTGGCTTTTTCTGCAACATAAAGCTCCTTCGTTAGGTGGAGGTTTGAGTACAGAGCTTAAATGTGACTGAAATTGCAAAATATATATATATATTTTTTTTGATGCAGTTATGCTTTAGGAAACATGTCTGAATTTTGGGGGGGCTTGGAACAAATTAGGGCGTTTACATGGAAAACGCATCTCTACTTCCAAAATTTTCTACTTAAGAAATTTCTTCAACCAATTAATTTCGTAATTAGAGGTACCACTGTATTTATGTATGTCGAGACACAGATCGTTGTGGAAATTGGCTTGTATGCATGTTTTATGATGGTCTTGTAATATTATGAATACAGTATTGTGATTTGGCAACATGAAATCCCTTTTGTCAATTATTGCAGAATATAAAAAATAAACTTAAAAGTCGTGTAGTTTGCAAATATTCCATTTTCCTGTCAGAGTCTACCATTGAGGGTTACCACATTCTTTCCACTTCCTCCTGCCGTATCTTATGCAGCCTGCTCAAAGTCTCCATGCCCTCTTCCACTCCTCTCTTGTAGGGGAGGGATAATACCTGGACAATAGCTGGCCCAACTAAGCATCGGCAGACTCCGGGCTTATCCAGGTCTCGGTGCTCTCGCCTCAGCTTTCATTTTTTTTTTCCTTTGGAGCTCTGCAGTTGGCTCAGTGTCGACTGGCTGATAAGTAGCCTGTGGGTCACGGGGAGGACAGCCAATGCGCCGGGCGCTAATCCTAGCATGAAACTATAGAATATTACGAAGGCGAATTATAAAAATGAGCCCCTTTCAGTGGGGTGGATTAAAGCCGTTGCCGTCTTTGTTCGCGTGGGCATCATTGTGTTAGTGAGAGCCGTCTTTCACCAGAGAGAGCTAGCGTTCTCTATGGAGGGATATTAGGTCCAAAAAAAAAAAAAAACGAGCCTCTTTATGTGGTTAAAAACAACAACAGGAAGAAAAAAAAAACCCTAAAAAATCAAAGCGCGAGGGCTCCTTTGGTCTTTGGAATGTTCCCCTTTGAGACAAAGCTTTTGTTACATAAAGAGAAGGTGCAGTTTGATTTATTTGGGCACTTTGCTGGAGGCTACATCTCAATTATACTTGGCGCTGTTGTTACTGCACTCGTATGATGTTGACTCATTTCAGTTTCTGAACAAGCCCAGGAGGAGAAAAAAAAAACAACTTTCCCCGTGTCAACAGTATATGAAGTCCTTCTTGAGCTTTGAGACATCGAGAATCCATGTATCCATTTTCGACCACTTCACGCACTGTTGGAATAGATATTTTTTTACTTTTTGGATTACCAGTACGAATATGATCTACACATTTTAGTTTTGAGGAAAAAAGAAAAAAACAACATTAATGGAAGTAAAAGATATTTGCTCAACATTTTTTATGGCTACCCTGGCAAACCTTGCTCATTGTTGTGTATGCGTGTTCCTTTTTTTTTTTTTTTTTTAGCCAGAAAATAGTCTTGTTTGAACGTAATCAACTTTTTCCATTTGTGGCTAAATACTCCGGAGAATATGATATGGGAGACAAATAACACATACGCAGACCTCACCTTGTACAATGATAACTGCGCCGCAAAGTGCTGACACGCACATCCGCTAACTTTTTAGCTGATGTTGAAGTCACCGTATGCCGGAAGGTCCCGAGGGTTGTGAGCAGTCTTGCGCCACCGCAGCACGTCCTCATGGGATGCATTGTTTTAGTGCGGGTACATTGTGCATCTGCAAGGCAAAGTGCGATCCGAGCTCGCCGATTTTTATTTATTTTTTTCCTGATGTGACATAGGATCAGACCATATGACATTCTTGTTAGTGTTGAAGGAGCTGACTGAACTCAGTTTTGCCTTTTGTGCAGTGTTGGAATCAAATCTCCATCCTGTGTGCGTGTCATGGGTTTCCACTTTGTCTTTGAGGATTTTGTTTTGGCTTGTAAGATTAATTATAGAAGAACAAAAGTGTTTATATTGCCTGTAAATAGCACAAGGCCTGATAGAAGAATATCATTTTGATCATGTTCTCTTTTTCTGTTTCCAAAGTCTTGTTTTTTTTTCCCCCCCATTCAGAGGCTGAAGGACCAAAACAGAAATGTCTCCCATATCCAAATCATCCCCGTTAATGATGAGCAATTATTTATGAAACAACCTTTGAATTAGTCACGGCTGCTATTGTGTCACAGCGATCGGTCATAGCTAATAGAGTGAGCTCGACTCTGTCCTTGTTCTCAAAGTCCCATTTGCGTCTGTTTTGCTTTTCCCGTTTTACCTCCTTTTTTTTTTTTTTTTTTGACTACTGCCTCTCGTTCTTTGTTCTGTGTTTCCCCCAAAGACCCATTAGTGTGCCTAACTAGGCTTTGATTACATGACTTCTGTAGTCATTGTGTGATCAGAGTGCCAACTATTTCCTCAGAGTCGCTGACATGACGTCTCACTAAGGAACATTCATCCCTTGGCGTTTCACCACTGTGTTCATTCATTTGCACTCATGTTCACTCCCCCCACCTCCCCCCTCGTCTATGTTTGCCAGCTTTCCTCCATTTCATCCCCTTTTTTTTTCCTCCCCTCCCCACTTCCCTTTTCACCCTCCTTTGCTGATTAGTTTCTCTCCCAGTGTCTCGCCTCAGCCTTTTCCCTCAGCAGTTCTCCTGCAACCTTGCCCTCTGACGCTCTAATCTCATTCCAAAAGCCTCCATGTTTATCTGCTAAGCACAGAACCATGCAATGGGCAGCCGTTGGTGTTAACCCAAAAAAACAATAAAGTTAAGTGTTTAGTAAATGATCTCTCACGGCACGTCAAGGCTTCAGTTTCCGCACTCGAGCCGCGGCACTGCGGTTGGCTTTTGGGGAGACCTTAAAAAAAAAAAAAAAAGTACAAAACTTCTCTCCTGATGACCTTTGAGCTATTTGTCCTCCTGAAAGCAAGCTGCTGTTCCTTTCAAGATTGGCCTTTTCTATCGACGTTGGGGAATATGGATGAAACCATTCACAAATAAACCGCGATTTAAAAAAAAAAAAAAAAAATTAAAATATTTGTTATTGTCGCTAGCATAATATGATGGACCGTCACTTCACAACATGATCGTTTAGGAAGCCGTCTGTGTACTGTTTAACAAACATACGGAATATTTGAATTCATGTTTTTTTTTAACGTCAATTATTTCACAATGACACAGCAAACTACTCTCACTCGCTACTTTTTCAGCCTCTACTGAATAAAGACAACATGCTGGCCATAATTGCAGTGCCACCTTAGGTGGTTTCTTCAAGGGGCGGTTCGCCCATCATGACCGAGTGGATCACTATTCTTAAAATGTTCATTATGACCAAAAGGAGTGGTTTCATGAAATGACTTGTGAATAATCAATGCTTTAGTCTGATTTAACCACTTAGAATGCACACTGTAGTGAGGACAGTGTGTGTGGCATGCCGAAGTAAATGTCCAATGAAAGTAATGGAATAAAATAAAGGGCGCACATTTTAAGGGACCTATCATTGGGCTGGTATGTGTGCAAACATTTGGTCACTTGTCACTTTTGTCAAAATTTCATTTGCTAATTTTCATGATGACCGAGTGAGTCTGATGAGGACGCCGAAGGCACTTCGTAGTCAGCAAGACCCTGTGGCACACCATTTTAGTTGCTATTTGAGCTGTCCATGGTCCTGAAAATCCTGAAAAAAAATTCCCCCCCTTACTGGGTGCACAGCCATGCTGCTGAAATCGAATTTATCGGGCACAAATCAATGATGATAAAAGTCTTCAACAGGCACTATTAAAAGATAGCAGTAAAATAACACGCTAAGTTTGACAAGCCTGCGTGTCGGAGTCAATGTTTTTTTATTTCACTCTTCCGGCTGTCGCTTGTCATATTGCATTTCCATGATTGCACTTTTAAAACAGTTGGCAGCGGTAGGCTTTTTATTTACTCTTCGTCGTGCACGCTCGACGAAAATATTTATCTAATCAACGTGTTTTCTTCCTGCAGTGGTGCTGCTGAATTCTAAAGAGACTCAGGCGGAGCTGGGCTGGACCTCATATCCCCCCAACGGGGTGAGTCGACATCTTTTTGTTTTCGTGGCCTGTGACTATTTTTTTGTGTGTTTTTGTGTGACATAACCGATTGAGTTGCTGCGTTTCGTAGCTCAGCTGCCCGCGTAACATCAGACTTTGCCATCCTTTCTCACCTTGTTAGTCTCCCTGTCTCCGAGCGAGTGCACATCGCTACATCTGTTAGTGATAAAAGCAAAGCCACTTTTATCGCATTTATCGGAACAAAAGAGTGCTTAACAAAGAAACACCACCGGTGATTTGGTATTTACTTCCGGTACGAGTTTACACATGCGAATGTGACGGAGCTTCTCATCCCACCCCGTCCGCTGATTTACACTTTGACTCCTGTCGAAAACAGTTTGTTGGCAGGCCGGCGGGGTTTGAGAGCTTAGCGCAAAAAAAAAAAAAAAAAAAAAACCACAAGCGTTTTCACGAGATTGCATCCACTCGCCGTGCTGCCTGTCAGATTGGCCCGCTCGATGAAAGAATCAATTGATGCATCAATCGCTCCACTTCTGAAAAGAACATTTGTCACCATCGCGGTTGGTGTTGTTGAGCACAAGAACAGCACTAACAAGCCATTTTCGATGCTTGCTCTGCTGCTCGACTGTGCTAAGTCAGAGAAGAACTCTTCATCAAGAGTTGAATCGATCATAGATTGTGCTGGATCCACACCGAATCTTGAGTCTTCATTTTACCGAGGCATTTAGGACAATTTTATGCTTCCAACTTTGTGGGCACATTTTTTTTTTTTTAGCTCTAGTGCACAATGCACAAGCCAATAAGTGATGACTCCATACTTGATTCCGTTTACATTTCCTGCAGCTCTCACAATACTTGTGTCCATCGAGAATAAACTACCTTTGCGCTACTTCAAGCATTTCGATATTTTAAATTGGAGCATTGCTACGGTTTTGGTCAACCATCAGTCAAGCTCCCGCACACAAAGAAAAATATTTGCAATTGCAATTTTAAACATTTTAAGAGCTAGTTGGAGCTTTCTTGTGTAACCGCTGAAAGATTCACGATTCTCTGTAAAACAAATGAATAAGATGCCACGATCTGTATTTTTGTTTCGAGTTTGCATTTGGGTTTGTCTCGTGACATGTCTTGTTTGATTGTGGTTCATGCCTTGTCCTACACCACAACTTAGACCCGCTTTCATGTGATCTACAGCGAAAGTCTCGGAAAGCCCAGTCAGGCGGAAATTCCTGAACACGGCAAACTAGACTTGCCTCATGAAATTGCACTTGCACGAAACTGGAAGATAATCCAGTTTTTACGCCGAGCGCATGTGCGCCTGTCGATGAGAATAGGACCCCTAGTGTCCTGTTCCACTTTCGCTTGGTTCCAATTAAAGTTTGACGCCAGAAATATTCAAATGAAAACGTTAAAAATCAGCAAAGCCTAAAACACTGACGGAAAGTTCTTAAAAAAAATACCCTGACATGACAAGTTTGGAATGTCTCTCATTGTCTCTCACCCCCCCTCCCCCCACCCCATCCAGTGGGAGGAGATAAGCGGTGTCGATGAAAAGTACAAGCCCATCCGGACCTACCAGGTGTGCAACGTGATGGAACCTAGCCAGCAGAACAACTGGCTGCAGACTGGCTGGGTGGCACGTCGGGGTGGCCAGCGCATCTTCGTGGAGCTTCAGTTCACGCTTCGCGACTGCAACAGCATTCCCGGCGTGGCGGGCACCTGCAAGGAGACCTTCAACCTCCTATACGTCGAATCGGACAGGGACCTCGGCGGCGTGACCCGAGAGGACCGCTACACCAAAATTGACACCATCGCCGCCGACGAGAGTTTCACGCAGGGCGATTTGGGCGAACGGAAGATGAAGCTGAACACAGAGGTACGGGAGATCGGTCACCTCAACCGTCGGGGCTTCCACCTGGCGTTCCAGGATGTCGGGGCCTGCGTCGCTCTGGTGGCCGTGCGGGTGTACTACAAGCGCTGCCTCGCCACCGTCCAGAACCTGGCCATCTTCCCCGACACGGTAGCCGAGGCGGCTTTTTCCACGCTGGTCGAGGTGCGCGGCAGCTGCGTCAACAACTCTGAGGTGGACGCCGACAGCCCCCCCAGGATGCATTGCAGCGCCGAAGGGGAATGGCTGGTCCCCATCGGGAAATGCAGCTGCAGTGCGGGTTTCGAGGAGGGTCACAGCAGCTGTGAAGGTAGGAAAGCGTAAACAGCGTGTGCGCAAACAGCCACAATGAGCTTACTGTCATGAAAGGAGGAAAAAAAAAAAGAGAGATGTTATGCGTCGACAGTATAAAAAGTGTCTATTGATGTCAAAATGTTCTTTCACGCCACAACAATGCGAGGCAAATGAATAAACCGGAATAAAGAAACAGCCACGGAACAAAGACATCCTCGCAAATACAATAACGCTGATTTTGCTTTAAAACAGCAATTATGGTTATTTTCAAAAGAAATTAAATTCGGCGGCTAGGTCATATATATATGCTCTAAGAGAGCTGATTTTCATCCGTAGAGGAAAAAAAACGCCTTCGTCCTGTATTATTGCCGTATAGACGTCGATGTATTTCTGTGCTGCAGCTTTCATCTTGGCGCGCACACATTAGCTGTGTTGATGACACTGATGACACAGAATAGCAGCGCAATCACATAATTACACGTCGACATCAGAATAGACGGCTCATCCTGGGAAGGAGGAGGGTGAGAGCGCCGATTTATCTCACGAGGTCGGGGGGTCGTCCGACTTTCTGATCGTACAGACCTAAAGCTGAATGTTTTCTCTCGATCCTAGTTTTCGTGACTCCATTGTCCATTTTTTTTTTCCTCCTTAAAGCCGCTCGACAGTTGTCTTGGAATACCTTAAAATCTGAATATTATAACTCCGTAAGGTACAAAAGGTGGCAAATAAAAAAAACATCCACCAATCTTATTAAAAACAGAATTATGAATCCACAATATGGCGGCTACACAGCCCACCTTTTCGTCAGCGTTGACATCAGCAGTGACGGCTGCGTCATCAAATCAGTCACATAACCACAATCCAGAAAGATGCCAAAAAAAAAAAATGGCATTGTTGCAAATCTCCCAAGATGTGATCTGTGAGGCGTCACAATCTGAATGTGTTTTTGTATTCTGTGAGCGAACATGGTGACTAATGTACTTTGCCCTCATTCTGTTGAAAACCACACCTTCACTTTTGGCATTTACATCCTGCCAAGAGGACGCACGCACATTTAGCGATCTGCCGTGCATAGGGCGGGTGATATGATGACGTAGAAAGAGACGGAAAAGACGTTGCTCATAGATGAGCAGAAGTCAAAATTCCCGGCAATGCCTTGTGGGCGTTGGAGTCACGGGCTGCTACTTAGCAGACGGTAATTTTGACTTTTTTGTGGGGGGAAAAAAAAAAAAATAGGCTCCCATTCGTCAATTCTATAACAAGTGGAGAGAAGTTTTAATGGAACTGAGATTGCGTGACAGAAAATGTTGAAGTCGATGAATGAGCTGTTTTCACAACGCGGACAAAAAAGGGAGAGCCGACGGCTCAGCGCAGGAAACTTTTTTTGTTTTGGGTTTTTTTTTTTTTTTTTTTTTTTGCCAGAGGACCTTTCAGTGCATTTTTTATTTTTTTTTGTCCACCTCAGACACTCCATTCGGTACACCTCCAATAAGAGCGTATACAAAAGCCCTTTCGCACAGGTGTCAAAGTCAAGGCCCGGGGGCCAGATCTGGCCCGCCACTCATTTTATGTGGCCCACGAAAGCAAATCAAGCATGTCAAGTTCCATGATGCTTGCTAAAGTCTGAACCAAAATTTCAATTTGTCTTATGTAATCCACAAGAACAGTCATTATTCTTGACTTCTCATTTTAGAAACTAGTTATTCATCAATTTGTTGTGCGCTGTGTATGGGATATGTGGAGGTATTTCAACATTTATATGGTTTCCCAAAATGCATAACAGCCCTCCAAGTCAAACCGTAACTCCAACGTACTCCGCGACAAAAATGAGTTTGACACCCCTGCCCTATCGAAATATTTGCAACGTGTTTTGGTTGCAATATTGATTCATTAGAATTGGCTAATTCATGTTATGGCTGTACGACTTGTCATTTAGCGCAAGTGGGAGTGGAGGAGTTGCAGCGATTCGAATGTTCGTCGTCTCCAAAAAAAAAAAAACCCCAAAGTTACATTCGAAGTGTTCCTTTTGATAGCTCGGGTTTCAATGATCCTTCGAATTTTTGTTTCGTTGCTAGGCCAACCTGTTTTTTGTCTGCCGTTATTGCCAGCTCTGAAATAAAACGCGCAGGTTTTACAACTTTCTGATGCCAGAAGTAACGTCTACAGCTAACAATGATGCCAGAATCAAATTCCACTCGTCGTTTTCCAAACCTGTAAGTATCATTCACCCATATGAGTATAAGAACCCGATTTTGAGCCATGCGATAAACACCAAAGTAATCGCTAATGAGCGTAAAGCGATCCCGGTCACTAATTCTCTATTGAACATCGGCACACAACTCGCAACACGTCTTCTTCAAGTGTTCAGCGACGCGAGAGCGAATGCGCTCAGTGTCTCAACGCAGGTCAATAATATTGAAGAGCCTGTGAGTCGCGACCGATAATGTGCGCGAGCTGTGTTGCGCGGTTGAGGATTATTAGCACATGCGACGTTAGCGGTCACGCCAGTCCACCTGCAACACTGGATTAACCGCACGGTTAGCGGCGTCAGTCGTTTGCAACTCTGAAAAAATTCTCACTGGGATTGGAGCTGTGAACATTTTTTTTTGTACATCAAAGGTTTTTTTTTTTTTTCCGAGAAAACATATGTGGGAGGCCTTGGGATCAAATCTCTTGAGAAATGAAGTCAAATACAATCTCGGCGCTCTCTCGCTTTTGGCTGTGGAACTGTTAAAAAAAAGAAAAAAAAAAAAAGAAAAGTTCAAGAGCTCTCAGGGTCATTTGCCGATGACGCTTGAAATGGAATAACCGCAAATGAACGTGCAGTATGTCAGGAATGGATACATGGAGGCTACCTTGGTACCGTTAATAATTTTTTTTTTTGAAAAAAAAAGGAACACTTATTCACGTCGCGGAGGAAAAAAGAGCGTGGCGCCACTTGACCGGCCTCTTGTAAAACGTGGGAAACAAATGCGCAGCGGGACATTCAGGCAAATTTGCATATCTGCTCGCTCAGCTTCTTGGTGTGAAATGAAGACGTACAAGAGGAGGGGAAAAAAAAAAAAAAAAGAGAGAATTAAACCGAGTAGGGAGTCGAGCGATTCGTCGTTTTTGCCGGCTGGCGCGCTCTTTATCATATATCTGCGGCTTTACACCGATGGCTGCACACATGTTCTCCAGTCTCATTATGAAATGATGAAACACCGCCAGCCGCTCCGGTCTGAGGCGAAAATAAATTATGTAATAATTCACCTCGCAAACGGCCGTGTTTTTTTTTTTTTTTTCCCGGGCCTGCGTTTCGGTCACACTCTGGCATAGTTCCTTCCTTTTCTAATTAAGGCGGCCGGTCTCTTTGCGATGTAATTACCGCGAGTGTGGCGCATGCCTTCAGCGCATTCTCTTATTATCTTTCTGTTGTTTGCTGCTCAACAATCCAGCTCCTGGCGCCTTCACCGCCCCGCTGTTTCTTCCTGTCTCCCCCCCCACTTCATCACTTCTCTGACCTATTTACCCCCCATGCACTCCCCGGTGCCGCAAAAGTGCACGCTTGAATTTTTGTCCCAAGTGACACTTCTCGACAGCATCCGGGACGTCTGTTTTTGATTTCGGGCTACCTCGCTGTTTTTCTGTCCCCTGCACTCTTACTTGATTTGCCTACTTTTTCAGTGCGCCTATCCCTCAAGCTGTTATTAGTCTGCCCCCCCCCCCCTGTCGGAAATCTGCTCTGGAAGCCACAGTGTGTGTGCGTGTGTGTGCCTGCTTGTGTGTGGGGGGGGTTCTGCGTGATTAAGAATTGGCACCAGTGCGCAATCATCTTTCTGAAGTTGTTCCACTCATCTTCTCGCGTCATGACTTCCGCAGCCCTCTCTTACTCATCTTGTTGTAGGTCATGAGCAATCGTTACTCTCAAACTTTTGCGCCGGCGTTCTCCTCCTGTAACTACTTTCGCCGTCAATATGGTTTTCGTCATTGTCTTTTGACGCCGTAAGAACCTTGAACTCAATCTCAAGAAGAAATTGCACTCCAACGGTCTTTTGGAATCAAGTTTGTTCCATTCGTCGAAACAACTGGAACCGAAACATTGATGAAGATGAATCGCAAATAAATGGAAAAGGGGAGAAAAATGGAAAGCTAATGAAAACAAATGAAAACTGCTCGGGAGGGGGTGGGAGAAGTACTCCCTTAAAGCAGTACGGCTTGAGGCCCTGAGCCAAACGCCTTCACATTAAAATAAACATTCAATCCAACCATAAAATTGCAGTCAACTTATTTTAGTTGCGATATCAGAGCTTGTAGACGTAACGCGCTTCACGGTTAAGATGGAAGTGCAGTCACTCAGTCAGCAGACAAAATTGTGAGGATGCACAGGTAGATAGATTTTTGTTGCGTTTTTTTTTTAAAATTAGTCACATATTGAAGTATTGACGCATGTAAATATTATTATCATTCCACAAATAGCGTCGTACTCGTGTCTTTTGTCTTTTTGTCAATTGGATGAAAACATTTGTTCACCCTCTTGATTTGAAGTCGGTGGTGAGCTAGCGAGCAGCCAACCAGCTAGCCAACCAGCGAGCCACTTAAGTTTGCTCAAAAACAAGTTAGTTAGTAACGCGCCTCTACGATTGCAGGGGTCCGATTAGATTTATAATTTGAACTGAATGGCACTTTCCAGCTGACAGTGATTCCAGTAGTCAGACGTGACATTCAGGAGTGAAGGAGCTTGAAGGCGGTACCCCACCTTGGCCCCATCTCTTAAAAAGTGCCCTCTGTTGACCATTTGCATTTGAATTCTAATCCTTCTGAAATATTAATCGAACCCATTTGTCAGTGAACTACTTTGGCCAAAAAATATTGTTACCCTGACACATCTTGTTATGTCGAGACTAAACCTGAAAACTGCTCGGGAGGGGGTGGGAGAAGTACTCCCTTAAAGCAGTACGGCTTGAGGCTCTGAGCCAAACGTCTTCACATTAAAATAAACATTCAATCCAACCATAAAATTGCAGTCAACTTATT